CCCTCAGATCGTTTTGTAAGCGTTAGGTGCTTCGAGGATGGGCTGCGACCCCAGCCCTCCTCCTGAGATCCAAGGCACTGTGCTCCTCCCTCCTTGGCACACCCAGCTTCCTTCCTAGAGGCGTCAGGGTGGCAGGGACAGTAATAGTTGGGTTGTTATATTTGCAACAGGTCAAGAGAGTGTTGTCTATTTGTTCATTTGCTTTTCAGGTCCGGGGATAGGGCCCAGGGCAGTGTGCTGGCCCTTGAGCAGGAGAGCTTTTTGGCTTGGTTTTGTTGAGAAAGGGTCTCACTGCGGAGTCCACACTGTCCTAAAACTTGCTAGCGTAGCCCAGGCTGGCCTCTAACTCTCACCAATCCTCCTGCCTGCCTTACCCGCACTGGCATCATCCTAACCTCTGCCCAACGATGCTTTAATCCATCTCCACCCTTTACTGCGGGCTAACCTTGACCTCTCTGTGCCTCAAGTTCTACCCCTGTAAAACGGGGTAAAAGTGGCCCTCCACCTCTTAGGGTGGAGGCCTAGATATGCAGGGCCCCTGGAGCAGTGAGGGGCTATGTGTTCTGGAGCCTTTTTAACAGCTCCTCTTCAGAATGAGGACAGGCCTAGAGGGCTGCTGGGCAAGGAGGGGAAGGGACGGTAGCCACAAAGCTGGCAGTGGCCATAAGAATGCTGTCTTTGTGCCCTCTTGTCCCCAGAGGGGACAGGGAACTCTTCCCAATCACACGGGAAGGACTTTGCCCATCCCCAGCTCTCCCTGGGGCGGAGGCCAGTTTAGACAGTGTGGCACTGACACTGGCTGGGCCAGCTCTGGGGGAATGAAGGAGGAAAGGGACTGGAGCCACCCAGCTCCCAGCATGCCTTGCTGGTGTCGGCAGGGAAGACATTCTAACATCTTTGTCTGCCCGCCACATCCCAATTAGCTGCCTCTGTCAGTTTCTTTGGGGGCCAAGTTTGGGCTCCTTATTTCCTAGTTAGGTCTGTTCGCACTGAGGGTTAGGGGACTAAGGCACTCAGGGAGGGATCCAGGTGCCCAAAGACCCCTCTCATAGCACCTGTGGGGGCCTTGAATTCAGCACCCCAATCGGTCTGCTCTCCATCAAAGCCGTCTTAGCAACTGAAACTGGATCCCAGTGTGTTCCGCCCCTCCAGGCCAGGCCGCACCTGTGACCCACTTGTCCCAGTATGAAGTCACCTTTGCCAGGACATCCCAGCTTCCCCCACGAATGACTCCCTAGAGTCCTCATTCTCTGCTGGCCTCAGTGGTAGGTGCCAACCTCCCAGGCCCAGTCCACTCCTCTTGACTACTCAAGCTCTGACCTGAGGACCACAATGAGGCCTTGCTCGTCCTTATCTGCTAGGCCCAGCACACTGTCCAGCTGGAAGCGAGGCAGTGTTTGCTGGCTTTCCAGCAAATGTCCACGTGTTTAAGGAATGCTAACCCGTTGTGCTATTGGCCTCGGACAGACAGCGAGGGCTGCAGCAGCCACTGAGCCACACGCTCCACCTGTATTCCCCTGCCCAAGCTCAGCTGCTGCCTTGGCTCCTGTTAATTTGCACCTGCGCCACCCCCTGAGGAGGGAGCCCAGTATCCACATATCCACACTGTGCACACCAAGGAACAACCCGCTGTCCACACCTCCTGCCTCCACAGCTGTTCACACATAAGACTCAGCCTGTAACACCGGGTCTAGGAGGGATTCCTCAAAGAAAGGTGGTAAAGAGTGTGTGTGTGTGGGGGGGGGGGTGTCCTTTCTAGTCATTCAGGAGTGAGGAAGAGTCTCACAGGCTTATTGCAAGGTGCCGCAAAGCGGGCAGCCCCTGCCTAGCCCCGGGCCAGCTCCAGCAATGAAGTGAACACAGCCAGTTCAGTTTGCCCCCTCTGCCTCGGAGAACAGAGGTCTGGCCTCGTGCTCATGTCCTGAAACACGCGTGGAACATGTCCTGTCCTGTCTGTTTCACCCACAGGCACCCAAAGGCCACTATGCACACTGCCACACTGGCTGGCACATCTGCCAGTTGGGGCCAGCCAGCTGGTGTGCCCAGGCCTGTGCGTTCGTACACACACACTGGAATGCCGCAGGCACTCTTGAGCCTGCGCGGACTGACCTGCTACCCTGTGTCTTCAACAGCCATGCCTTAGACCCGTGGTTCCCAGCAGAGACCCTGCCCCACCTGCCTGGTGTCAAGGCCCAGCTCTACCCCTTGGAGGCTCCAGCCTGAAAGTTGGTTTCTTAATTTTAGGTTACTGCTTTGAGGCTGTTCCTTCTCCCCACCCCCGCCTTGGATTAGTGTTGCTACACAGACTGTTCACATGAATCTGCACATGTATCTTCCCGTGTCCCATGCTGGTAGCCACCAGTTTGTTCTCCCGTTGTCCTTCCTGTTCTGCTTCTCTCACAAGTGCCCAGACCTGCTCCGCACCCCACACAGGTGTTATGGCGGGCGCGCATGTGTCCACATCCACACATCAATGCACACTCAAGATCATTGGGCTCGGAAAGGCACACACGTCATCGCAGAATGTTAAGCGACCTCGGTTCTGTGCAGTGCGGGGAAACTGAGGCTGGCAAACTTTCCCTCTCACCCTCCAGACACAACTCACTTCCCTGCCCGTGTCATACGCCACTGGCACACAATAGGCCTGTCCCTGGTGCTGAAGGAGGTCCCCAGTGTTCGCCCGGCACATAGGACACATGCGTGAGGCTGTAATCGAGAGCGACCTGAGATGGAACCTGGCTCTCTTGTTCTGAGACCCAGGAGGAGACGGTGGCTGGCCCACGGTGGCCAGGGACACGCAGAACAACAGCCGACTTCCATCTGTGTTTCTCTCCACCTGGGTCACTGTCCGTGTCCTTCTCCCTGCTCCGTATTTCCTGGGGTCCCAGCCACTGTGCCTGTCCCCCTGGTATCGCTGCCACCTGGCCGGTGACAAACGCGTCGGGCTGATGAGGGCACGGGGAGAGAGAAATCCCGAGGCCTTGTCCGCACCTGGCCTCCCCAGAGCCATTTGTGGGAACACTGACCTGGCTGTAGCCCACACCCTGCCGGAGAGAAGCCCCTACCCCAGGCCAGCTAGGGCCTCTCTGCGTGGGGACTCGCCACCTCCAGTTTGCCACTACTATTTCCAGGGTACAAGGCGAGGCCACGTAGGTATTCTCCCGGACTGTGGATCACAGCGGCAGTTTTAGAAAGGACACGCACAAGGCCCACCACACTGCGCCCCACAGCGGCCCTGTTGAGGCTCCCATGTCATCCCAGGCCAGGCCTCCCAGTCCGAGGAGTGGCGGAGCTGGCTCCTAGACCCACACAGAGCCCCAACCTGAGGCCGCCAAGTGGAACAAGCGCAGGCCCGGAGCCCCTTCCAGACTCAATTCAGCACACAACGCAAGAGGTGATGTTCGCTTCCCAGTCAGTGCTCAGCTGGCATCCCACATAGAGAAGCCTGGCCACAGCAGTGGCCTACACACCTATCCTGATGGGGTTGTCCTTACCAGGAAGCACACACACGCTCACTCACACACTCTTACATATACTCTCTCTCACACACACACACACTGCCACCACCACCACCACGAGACCTGCTTCAGAGCCTCAGAGCAGCATTTCCCCAGCAGCCTTTATCTCCCCGCTTCGCTGCTTTAGCAGTCTGCTCTTGGATCTTGATACAAACGTCGGCTCTTCTAAACTAGGTAGAGTGGTGTGGGCCTGTAATCTCATGTGCTCTGATGTCTGAGTCAAAAGGGTTAGAAACCAGCCTGGGCCACACAGTGGGACCCTGCCTTCAAACACAAAGAGGGAGGAGGAAGAGGAGGTGGCCACACCACTGAAGCCAGGCAGGCCTCCAACATGCCTGTCCTTGTCTACTCACTAAGCAGCTGAGGATGACCTTGAACTTACGGTCCGCCTGCCCCTATCTCCCAAGTACTAGAATTACAGGAGTGTGCACCAACATGCCTAGTTTTGTGTGGAACTTGGCACTCTTTCCTCTCCAGAGCCTTCCCTGACCAGGAATGGAGGCGGCTGCCCAATCAGTGCCGCCTTCCCTGGTTTTTCTCCTCTCTCTCCTCAGGCTTCTGCCATGTTCTGATCCCTCTTGGGTCATGCCTAAAGGCTCCATTTTTTCACCCCTCTGTGCGTGAGCATTTCTTAGCTTCTGCCCCGGCTCTTGAGCCTCCCCGCCCTGCATGGTTCTCTTGGGTGACATCACCCACTCCCACGGTTCCTATGAGTTCAGAGGAGCTCCCTTCTCCTGAGCAACAGGTAACCCGACATAGTCATCCTTCAGATATCAGGAGGTCATTGTGTCCTGTGTGAACCCACGCACCAGCCTGCAAAGCCACTCAGCTGCCATCCAGAGCCCCGGGCATCTAGTGATATACTGCCGTGCCCCCAACCTGCCCATCACAGCCCTTCTGTCCTCCATCTACCTCGTCCCATGTCACACTCTACTTCCTGGCCCAGGCCATCAGGGTCCTCCTGCTACTGCCTGATTTCTGGCCACCTTCTTCTCAGTTTTTACCCTTTCAATTGATGTTCTACAAAGCAGCCCCAGGGATCGCTCAGAGGTCTCAGAAGCCACCATTGCGCCATGCTCCTACTTAAAAGCCTTCGGTGGGTTACTAAGCCTTCAAGCCCCAACCCTTCAGTGTGGTCCCGGGGCTTCTGTGACAGCCCCGGACCTGCCTTCACAGGCTCATCTTCTTATTAAACACTGTTCTGAAGATCACCAGGGCCGGCCTTTGTACACACTGTCCCCAGACCCAAAAGGCCTTTCTCCTGCTTTTGTCACCTAGCCATACCGCTCACAACACAAGACTTAACCCAAACGTCAGGCCTCATCTGTCCCCACACATGTGTGGGTGCTCTTACAGCTGCCTGTCTGCACCATGGCCCTGTCACTGCTGGGTTCTTAGGCCAGGAAGGCCTCTGGAATACACCAGGCCATCTTGCAGAACGCTAGGGGTCTCAGGATAGGGAAGCATAAAGCCCGGTCTTACCTGTCTCTGAGGGCCCGTGGGGTCCGACTCTCTCCGTCGAGGGCGGGGTCCCGAGTGCAGGGGCGAGTGGGAAGGGCTGCCAGGTGTGGGTGGCTGTGATGTCTCTGACCGGCCATCAGCCTGGCTCAGCTGAGGTGGTGCCGGCTGAGGCAGCATCTGCCGCAGATCCTCCTCTGCCAGCGTCTGCATGCCCCGTCCACGGGGCCTGACAGCGGGCTCTGTCCCCAGGCGCCTCCTTTCCTCGCCCTCCTCAGGCAAAGGCCGCAGCTCCTCAGGCTCTTCATCCGTGGTGCCTGACGTGCTAGGCTCAGCCCCAGGAGGGAAGTCCTTGAGCTCGGTCTCCTTGTCGATAATGACCCATTCCTTGCTGTCAAAGTCTTCCTCCTCAGCCAGCGGCACGGAGCGGAAGGCGTTGCTCAAGGCCTCCTGCTCCACCGAGGCAGATACATCCATGCGGCCACTCGCCTGCCTGTCAACATGGCCTGTGTCCACTGACAACATCTGAGCTGGCTGTGAGGAGCAGGCCTGGCGGGAGGGTGAGCCAGGCAGATCCATCCTCGACCTGCAAAAGCCACCCACGTGGAGCTCAGTGCCAACCTCTGAAGCCCCAAGGACATCAAGCCAGGGGCAGGGCAGTGAGCATCCCTTTCTAGAAACCTTCACTTATCTATCCTATCCACCTACCGTGCATTCCCTCAACAAATGGTCCTTAATGCTTACCATATTCCAGGAACGAGAGGAACAAGAGCGTGCAGAAAATGAACGTGTCCCTCCCCTCTGGCCTACCCCAGGGATTCTCGTCCTTCTAACGCTCGTCAGGTACTCACACGCCATTTGGGGCTCCCTCCTGCTGCATCCAGGGCAAAGGCACCAGCTGGCTCTTGAGTTTACAGATGGCTTCTAGCTCCACCACAGACACCCTCCAGTCCTGCCCAGCTGGTGCTCTATAACCCCAAGCAGGCAGGGCCTTGTCAGTCCCCCACCGCAAGCCTAAGAAGTCTTCGCTCCTTAGGCTGTACCCAGGGCCCCTCAACCCAGCCGTGTGGCCCTTTCCCTAAGCAGGTCCATTCCAGAGCCACTCGCTTTTCTTGTGCTGTCCACCCTCACCCCCACAGCCTGTGCCCCTGTCCTCTGCTCTCTGACCTCCACTCTGACGCACTTCCTGTAGCGAGTCCTCCCCTTCCTGCACGGACAGTTACTTTCCCCTCCGGACAAGGCACCCTGAGCCCCAACCACACCACGCGTCTCAGATCTGCTGGGGTATCAGTCTCCCTTACAGACAGACTGCAACCTCTGCCAAGCAGGGCCTGGGTTCCTTTAACCTTTGACCACAGAGGCACAGATCCTGCCTGGGGCATCTCCTGTTCCCACCTGGAACTGTGCCTGGGACTCTCACATGACACCAGAACATCTCTGCTTGGCATGACACCAGCCCCAAAGTGAGCGTGCTTCTTGTACAATGGGGTAGTGTGTGTGTGTGTGTGTGTGTGTGTGTGTGTGTGTGTGTGTGTGTGAAAGGAAGATGCTACATAAGGAAGACATTTGGCTTGAACCCCAGGAAAACCACCAGGCCTAGCTCACCTTGGATCTGTAACCCACTCACACTGGGCAGGCCCTGATTGGTGTTCAGTGAGTGACCCAGCTGCAGAGGGCAGATGTGCAGGGCAGAACTTCCTGTCAGCCTTTCTCGAAACACCCTGCCCAGCCTCATTCATGGCAGTTCATGGGAACTGCCGAATCCCATTCTACAGCATATTTGTATCAATCCATTAGTTAGGCTTAAAATAAAACACCATTGACAGAGGCTGTCTTGGACTCCCGAGAGCACAGTTTGTTCTGATGGACATAAAGGACGGAAGGTAACAAAACAGGAGGTGAAGAGTGCGCAGGCCTGTTCCTGCATGTGACAGGACCGGGCCACCCCCACCTCGTCTGCTCCATACTTCTCTGTGCCCCGAGTGCCACCAAGTGCCTCCCTGTCCCTTCCCTGACTGCGACATCTGAGCTTTCTGTAGCAGAAACTCCCTTCAGTCCCTTCCTGCCACTCCTGAAGCTGTGCTTCCCGGGACCCAAACCTACGTGCTCCATGCTCCTTCTAAGCGGTGGCTCTTCAGAGCTGTCCTGCTCAGGACACTTGGCCCTCTTGTCCACACTCACATCCCTTCCTGTGTCCAGAGCCCCCTGTACCAAGGGACTCCACGCTCCCATGGGTGATCATGAGGTCTCAGGGGCCTGGCAGGCCAACCCAGGTAAGTGAGCTCTGTCACACACTCAGGGACCCAGACCTGCCTTGGGTTTGTCTACGCCCCAAACCGGCACCATGTTCCATCTGGGATTGGTTTAGGGCAGAGTCCAGGGGAGGGGCCATGGCTGATGTAGGTCATTAGTGAGTATCAGAAAGGATGCCCTCTTCCCGCAGGGCCAAGAAAAAGCCTCCTCTCTTTCCTAGTGCAGCAAAGGACCTGGTCGACTATGGAGCAAAGATCCTTGGAAGCTAGGCAAAGTCAGGGACATTCCAATCCCCCCATCCTCCCGTACCTGGTGCCCTACCCACTCAGGTATAGCACCCACTTGGCCACACCCACCTACGGCCAACTTTAGCCTCTTCCCACTTCCCAAAGGCCAATTCCTTCAGCCCTCTCTCTCTCTAGCCCTTTCTCTCACCCCGAACGTTCCTGCTGGGAGGAACCAGCTCTCAATTCCTATCCCTCAGGCCACCAAATCCTGGCCTGGCCTGCCATTGGCAGTTCACTGAACCCAGGGGCTTTCCGCCTGCAGGCCAAAAGAAGCCCACCTCTGCTGATCTCCCGGCCTTTGTGAATTGTTTTCTATGAAAGAGTTAGCTGGGACCAGGTCTAGGTCCAGAAACTGGCCTGTTCCCATTCTTTCCACTCTGGCTGGATGCCCCACCGTGGGCCTCCAACAGACTCCAATCTGTGTAGCCCATGCCTCACTCTACATTCCAGGTTTCCTCTAATTTGTGCCTCCCATGTGACCTTTCACAGAGCGGCCATGCTGATGAAGGCAGGTGGGACGGGAGGGCCTTGGACACGTCTCCCCGAATCCCCGGCTCCGAACTCACCTCCTCTCATGCAGCTCTACCCGGCCATCAGCCGCTGTAGACAGCCTCTCCGACTCTGGGCTGTTGACCCTCCGGTAGCGTAGGGACCGTACTGGAGTAGTTGGGGAGTCTGCGGGGGCACGCACCGGGGAGCTGGGGACCCCTACTCCTCGACTCTGCTCTTCCTCCACACAGGGGGTCTGTAGAGAAGGGGGTGCTGTGAGGTGGGGTTGAAGAGCTGGCTGTAGGGGGTGAGGAAGCCCCAGGGCAGGGTTGCTGTGGGGTGGGCGGGGCCAAGCGCTGCAGACCCAGGTGGGGGGGGGGGGGGGGCCGCCGCCCCCCCTTCCGCCTGGGTGCAATTACTTTGCCGATGTTGATGCGCAGTTTGTTGCGGTTGACATCTGTCTCCTCCCACACTTCGGCCTCAGGCCCCCCGGGGTGAGGGACCAGGTGCGGACTAGGGCCCAATCCATCCGGAGGCCTCCCGGGCAGGACGGGGGGTGCGTTCTCCTGGTCGCTCAGGTGCTCTCCCTGTAGTACGTCCTCAGTGTTCTCACGCAGCAGGTCCCCGGGCACCGGCGTCACGTTGACCACTCTGCGGAGGCCAGGGAGAGACGTGGGTAAAGCTTGCGGGGACGCCCTTCCCCCCCACCCCTTTCTCCTTTACCCTCTGCCCGCACAGGCCCTGAGGACCCCCTCCAGAGCGGACACAGAGAGGGCCTGTTACCATCCCCGGCCCACAAGGCCTCTGACACTAGACCATCCTCAAGGTGGCAGGGGCTATGAAAAGTGACCGGCAGGGGCCGGCACCCCCCTACCGAGCCCCACTTTTTCCAGAGATCTGTGGGTTTCCAGGCCTTTGCTGCAGTGCACTGTCAGTGTCTGGCTTCCTTCAAACCCCCGAACAAGTCTGAAAAGACTCCTGTTCTCCTTTTATAGAAGCCTCTTAAAGAGAGATTTATTTATTTTTATTGTATGTGAATGAGAGTTTTGCCTGCAAGTACGCAGGTGTACCAGGTGCATACCTGGTGCGCGAAAACGCCAGAAGAGGGCATCAGATCCCCTAGGTCTGGAGTTGCAGACAACTGTGAGCCACCATGTGGGTGCTGGGAATTGAGCCCAGGCCCCTCGTGAGAGCAGCCAGTGTTCTTACCTGCTGAGACATCCTCCGACCCCAACTTTTGGCTCCTTAATTAATTTTTTTGTTTGTTTGTTTAGTCTGTTTTTTATCTTTGTGAGTGTGTACATGACACAGTACACACGTGGAGCTCAGATGACAACCTCAGCTGATGGCTGTCCTTCCATCTTGAGATGTGTGTGTGTGTGTGTGTGTGTGTGTGTGTGTGTGTGCTCGCACGTCCACCTGTGTGCATGCATGTGGAGGTAGAGGTGGATGGGGGGCAGGGCTCTTCCTCTATGGTTCTTCGCCTTATTTTCTGTTTATGTTCATTTGCTTGTTTTTGTTTTTGTTTTTGTTTTTGAGAGAGAGGATTTCACTATGTAATCCGGCTGGTCTGGAACTTGCTATGTAGACCAGGCTGGCCTCAAACTCCCAGAGATCTGCTTGCCTCCAGTTCCTGAATACAGGGACCAAGAGGGTGTGCCACCACAGGTAGCCCTCCCTGTGTTTTTTGAGACAAGGTCTCTCAGTGAAAAGCCCCAGGCTCCAGGTAAGGTTCTGTGAATCAGGCCAGCTGCCCGGCAAGCCTCCAGGGGGTTTGTTTCTCTGCCTCCCGGCTTACCATAGAAACACAGAGGTTAAAGAGGCACACCCGGGCTCCGGGGACCCACACTCAGGTCCTCAGGCTGGGACAGCAAGTGCCTCATCTACTGACCCATCACTCAGCCCCTCCCTCCCTTCTTCCCTCTCCCTTCCTTCTTTCATTCCTTCTTTCTTTTTTTGTTTCTCTGTGTAGCCCTGTCTGTCCTGAAACTCACTCTGAAGGCCAGGCTGGCCTCGAACCAAGAAATCTACTTGCCTCTGCCTCCTGAGTGTTGGGATTAAAGGCGTGTGTGCCACCACCACCACCGCCTGGCTCCTTTCTGTTTTTTGTTTGTTTGTTTGGTTGGTTGGTTGGTTTTTCAAGTCAAGGTTTCTCTTTGTAGCCTTGGCTGTCCTGGACTCACTTTGTAAACGAGGCTGGCCTCAAACTCACAGAGATCCACCTGCCGCTGCCTCCCTGAGTGCTGGGATTACTAGAGTGTGCCACCATTCTTGGCTCCTTCCTGTTTTTAAAACGAGGTCTCCCTAGGTAGCCCAAGCTAGTCTCAAACTCAAGATCCTCCTGCCTCATCTTCCCGGATGCTGGAATTATAGATACATACCATCCTGCCCGACTTCCCTGAGCAACGCCATCACAAAACTGGCCCGCCACAGTATGCCAGCAATTTCTGTGGCATCTCTCTCTCAAAGATGGCCAGGATTGGGTGATGATGGCTACTCTTGGTTGTCAACATCTGGAATCTTGGTTGACTACATTTGGAATTAACTGAAACCCAAATGGCTAGGTACACCTGTGAGGATTTTTCCCCATAACTAAATCATTTGAAGTGAGAAGACCCACTTGTAATCTGTAGTTTTGAGGTGGGAAGTTCCAGATTAATCCAGATCTTTTGAAGTCTGGATCAATCACCTTTAATCTGGGCCACACCTTCTCCTGGCAGCCTATATAAAGGACTTGGAAGAAGGAAGCTTGCCCTCGAGCAAGTCCATTCTTTTTCTGGCAGTAGAGCCATCTTCCTCAGGATTCCAGTGTACACTGAAGACCAGTAGAGACATCCAGCCTCAGGGACTGAGCTACTACTAATTCTTGGACCTTGTGTTGACAGATGGCCATTGCTGGACTAGCTGGATCACAGCCTATGAGCCATTCAAAGAAATATATTCATTCTATAAGTTCTGTTCCTCTAGGAAACCCTGACTAATATAGGCGCAGACCCTTCTCAGTCAGGGTCCTCTCAGGGATGCCTCTCTGGAGCTCACATGATTCTGAAATTACTGGCCACATGACCGTAAATATCCCAGCATCAGCTGAGGTCCTGTTAAATAACCTCATGGTGTTTTGATGGTGTGAGGCATGCTACTTACAATGACAAATGAAGCTCTAAATGAAGAAGATGCCCATTCCATGCTCCGATCCAGGGCAGAGCTGTGATAAAATATCTCAAAAATCCAGGACTCTGCTTTCCAGCACGGAGAGCAGGAGACACCGCCAGGTGTGTCCAAGTAGGAGGAGAGGACTGGCGACAGCCCCAGGTGAAGGTCACTGGCCAGCCCACCCACCATGCTGCCCCTGCTCAGACTCACCCAAACATGGCTGCTGTCTGCCGGGTGTTCTGTTGGGGTGGGGTGGAGGTGCTCGTGGACAGGAGGGCATCGGTGCCTGCCTTCTCCCAGTCAAAGGCCTCATTCTCAGCAATGCCTCGCTCCTTCATGCTGTTCTCAAACACCGACATGATCAACTGCAGGGGACGGGGGGCAGCAAGAGGACAGAGAGGTGATCCCAGGGCTAGCCAGGTGGGGGGACAAACAGCTGGGAACGCAGTGGGGGAAAATGGGGACTCCCAGGGCAGGGGTGGGCCTAGAGGGGCCATCGGAGGGGGAAGCACACATTGCTTTTAAATGAAGACATAACACAAAGCAGCATGCAAATGGTCACCTCGGATTAAGCCCTGCCAGATGGATACTGGTCCTCTGAGACCTGCCCCTTCTGCCATTTCTATCATCTCCACAGGCACACCAGTGGGCGGCCCTAAGCCACTGGGGTCGCCTCCTGGTCTAATGATGCTTCTCAGACCACCGCCTCGGGTGGGGTGCCTCTCCCACTCTCCTTTCCTGACACCCGACTGGCTCGCCCATACAGCTTCCCTCTCACCACTGGGCATCACTTCCATGCCAGTCCTACACCTCTAGCGGCCATCACAGGGTCCCCATGTAGGTGATCATAACTGTGTGGACCACGGGACTCCCTGAGGCTGAGCCAGGACCAGGAGTGGGGTCTCAGCTCCAACAGCTACTGGAATGGACGCTTCGAGAGGTATCTCGTGCCTACAAAACCTCTGAGCAGCCCAGGCCATTCAGGACTGGGCTGGCTCTCTTCAGAGCCCAGGGTAGGCACTCTGCTGACAGGAGGACACACTCGCTTCAAGGTCTGTTGTGTGACTGACACTGCAGAGTGGCTTCCTGGCAAGCACCGATGACATGTCTCTCCATTCTCCAAACAGAATGTCCCAGGAGGCGTGCTCACGGAGCCGTGGGGAGCCCATTAGACCTGGAGTCGGCTAAGTGGTCCTTCATATGTGGGTGGGGGCATGAGGTGGCTGGAAAATTCCTACCACCTGGCCGTGTCACAGCAGTACGACATTACTCTGGGTGTCGATGCTGGCATCCTCAGTCACACAGAGAATGTGGCACACACAATTAACGTGCAGAACGTAATACTGTGATTTTGTGTGGGTGTGTTTATTTTACTTTTTAAAAATAAGTGTTTGTGGGGGGTGGGTATACACATGAGCGCAGGTGCCTGTGGGGAGCCTGAAGAGGGTGTTAGATCCCCTGGAGCTAGGGTTGCTCGTGGTTGGGAAACCCGACAGGGGTGCCGGGAACTGAACTCAGGTCCTCTGCAAGTGCAGCCAGCGTGTGCTGTTGACCACTGAGGGATTTCTGCAGCCCTGAGTGTTGTTGTTGTTGAGACAGGATCTCTCTATGTAACCCAGACTAACTTCAATTCATGATCCTCCTGCCTCTGCCCCACACCCCCTGTGACTGCACCACCCAATGGGACAATGCTATTTTTTAAATCACTGTTTTAGAACACACACACACACAAGGTTGATTGAGGTTGGCCATGTGGCTCAGTTAGTAGAAGGCTTGCTCCCCCAGCGCACAGGAAGCTGTGGGTTGAACCTCAGGCCCAGGGCAACACTGTGGACACATGTTTATAGTTCCAGTTGGGAGGTGGAGGCAGGAGGATCAGAAGTTCAAGGTTATCTTCAGCTAAATAGTGAGTGTGAAAACAGCTGCTCTACAGCAGAGCCTGTCTCAAAACCAACAGAAAAGAAATTATAATTTGCTACAGCATGCTGTGAGGCCAGGAGAGGCTTGGGAGTCTCATGTTTACTGCGCCTCTTGTTGGAGTCATTATGTCCTGCCACACTGTAGGACAGGGTACAGGAGGGGGGGGGGGGCCTGTCCAGGTTCAGGAAGTAAACTCTGCAATGGTCATTACAGTGACATTTCTCAGTCCATACCTCATCACTAAGCAATGCCCGGCTGTCTCTGAGCCCAGCCCTGCTCTTCGCCATGATGTCTAACCTCAGTTTCCCAAATATGAATCAACAGCAATCATCCCAGTTTACTTCCTGCAGGCTTTTTCTGTCAAATAGATCACGGGCCTTCAGTCCTTTTTTGCTGTTGTTGTTTGTTTGTTTGAGAAGCGGTTTCTCTGTTTACCCTTGGCTGTCCTGGAATTCACTTTGTAGACCAGCTGGCTTGGAACACACAGAGATCCACCTGCCTCTGACTCCTGAGTGCTGCAATCAAAGATGTACTCCACCCTCGCCCTACCCCAGTTATCTCACGGTCCTTAAAGGCTCCTTTTGGGGGACAGGCTCTTACTACATAGCCTCAGCCAGCCTAGAATTCTGTATAGAGCAGACATTGGGCTGTCCTCAAACCCACAGGGACATCTGCCTGTCCCCCGACCCCCAACCCCAAGTGTTAGGATTAAAAGTGTGCATGACCGTGCCCTGGCCCAGGCCCCTATTTTGAAGCATGATTGCAGTGACCGAAGAACAGCACTGGCCCCGAGGAGGGTCAGATCTTGAGAAATCTGAGCCGTGACTGCAGTTCGCCAGGGCAAGAACAGTCTGGTAGAGTTACCAGACCAACGGCAGGGCAACCTTGAGGTATGCCAGACTGCTGGGGGCAGGCCCTGCTGGAGGGCCAGCAGCCTCCCAGCGGTGCCAGCGGTGCCGCGGGCTAGGGTCGCACCTGGTAGTCAGGCTTGGTGAAGTAGTCGAGGCTGGCGATGTGGTCCAGGAAGAGGTGGAATCCCGACGGCATGTGCTTCAGCAGCACCCGGTGTTCGTACTTCTCCTTGATCATGCCCACCTGCTCCTGGAGGTCGAGAGGGCACAGGAGATAGAGCCCCGGCTGCCCCACCCTCTGCCCCTTCCGCCCAGCTGTGGCGGCCTCACCTTGTCCTTGATCTTCCTCCAGGGCAGCTGGCCCACCGCAAACTCCACCAGCATGTAGAAGAGGGACCACAGGTCATCATGGCGGCCCATCTCCTGGGAGGTAAGGGGACAGTCACCCGGAGTCCTCCCCCAGGGACGGGTGGCGAAGCCTTTCCTGGGTGACATGTCAGAGAGGCCTGATCCCGATACTGGGATCTCTCTGAGACTGCGGCCCCGCCCTGTACCTCAGTATACACAGAACACCACAGGGAAAAGTTCTGACTATGTTTTGTCCCTCCATTGGGGATTTTCAATGGGAAGAGAGATGCTGAAGGCCCAGAGGAGAAGGATACCAACGGCAGCCACCAGCAGGCCTTCTCCAACTCTAGGCTTCCTTGGTGACTGACTGCAGCCGGATGCCCCGTTCTTTTCTCCCCACCTTCACGTCCCAGCCCACTTCACGCCAAGCTCTGTCCTTCCGCCCACAGCCCTCAGCCCAAGCTATGCCGCTCACTCACCCGGTTCTTGTGGGCATTGACCGAGGCGTAGCGGACGGTCCCCCGGAACCCGGCCACATTCCGAGGCTGCCGAGAAGAGACCACACCTCAGCCACACTGGCGACACTACCACCACCTAACTGCCCATCTCATCCTGATACCCAGGAGCCCAGGCGGGAGAGCGGGCCAGGCTGTTACCCCAGGGCTGGCTGTACCCACACTGAAGAGTAAACCAAGCCTGCTTAGACAGCTACAAGGAGAACAGCCCAGTGGTGGAGGCTCTCTCACCAGAGAGTGGTGAGAGCCTCCCCCCATCCTGACGCCTGGTGGGACTCACAGGCCGGACGTCCCCCGTGGTGTTCGTGTACTGCCGGGCCAGCCCGAAGTCCAACATGTAGCACTTCCGGTAGGTGGACGGCAGCCGGCCCATGGCAAAGTTGGACTGTGGGAAGACAGCAGCTGTGAGCCGAGGTCCAGCTCCCCAAGGCCCACTGCCACGCCCGTGCTGAAGGACCCCCAGCCTGTGGACTCTTATGCCCACCCACATTCACTCGAGAAGGGCTGACTGGGGCATCTTGGCAACAGAGCGGGTGTGACTATTCTCAAGTTAGAGAGACGGAAAGGAGGGGTCAAAGGTTGAGGGATCACGGAATCGGAAAGAACAAGCGTTGGTCTCTCTGGTCAATCCTGCTCTAACTCCTCAGCCCTCTGGCGGGCAGCGGGGTTTGGTACAGCTGCCCAGCTCAGAATCAGCTGCCCTGCATTCCTCTTGCTGTGTGCCCTTGGAACGTTCACTCAGCCTTCCCAGCCTTCTCTTATTACCCATTTATTTGTTTGTTTGTTCATTCACTCACTCATTCATTCTTTCTCTCTTTCTTTTTTGGTGCTGCGAGACAGAGTTTCTCTGTGTAGCCCTGCTATCCTGGAATTCACTCAATGTGGACCAGGCGGGCCTTGAACTCACAGAGATCCACTCGCTTCTACCGACTGAATGCTGAGATCAAGGGTGCGCACCACCACCACTTGGCTTCTTTTTGCCCCTTTAAATTGGCTAAATTTAACTTTCTTTTTCTAGCACCAAGATCCAAGATGTCACGGAAATGTGTCCTCCCCTGACCTCTTCACCTTTAGACTGAAAGACTACACGGTGTCATGGCTGAGAGATGAAGACCAATGGAGCGCAGAGGTGAGCGCTGGGCACTCGGCCTGGCACGGCCAAGAGGTGAAAAAGAGGAGCTGAGGCTTGGTGCGGATCAAGAACTGTTCAAGTAGAAGAGGCCCGCCCACTGCAGTGGGGGAGGGAGGACCCGCAGACAGGGAGCACTGCTCACCGGCTTGATGTCGCGGTGCAGAAAGCCCACGGAGTGGATGGCTTCGATGGACTCCAGGATCTGCTTGCCCAGCCGCAGCGTGGTGCTCAGTGTGAAGGTGCCCCTCGGCTGGCTGCGGCGCAGGTCGGCCAGGTTCCGCCCCTGGGAGAGGCGAGGGAGGTGGGATGGGAGAGGATGGGAGACTCCCCTCAGCCACATCCCTACCTCGGCTGCTCTGTCTGCCACCCAGCCTTGCCTTAGGCTCTACCCATCCCAGCGGGAGCCGGTGCCTCTCTCCCCGTCACCCCACCAGGTCACACGCCAGCCCCTGGGCCGGAGGTCGCACCTGGAGCTGCATCACCACGTAGTTGAACTTCTCGTTCCTGCCGCAGCCAATGAACCTGCACACGTGGTCCTTCCCTGAAGGGCACAGAAACAGGGGCCTCCCAAGTCCCACATCTTCCTCCTTGCCAGCCAAAGACAGGCTTCGGCGAGCGCCTCCCCCCCTGAGACTCTGAACTTTGGAGCTCCCATCCTCGTCCTCATGCTCGAAAGGCAAGGGCTTTAACCTGGGAGCCACTAGCCATCCCCCTGGCACTCTCTTGAACCATGTTCCCCAGCCCAGGGCCCCAGGAAAGCCTCTGTCATGGCCCCTCAACCCCCACCCACCGCCATCACTAACACGGGGTCTCCCTCATCACTCTCCATTGCTGTCCAGACTCTCCCATCACTCTCAGGCCCTGGTCCCATCGCCTCTTCCTTCCCACGCCCCGGCCCCAGGGCGGTACCTTGGAGTTTTTTGAGCACGGCCACCTCCATCTTGAGGACCTGCTTAGGCTGTTGGGCTGATTCCACCTTGAGGGCCACATTCTCCCTGGTCAGCAGGTCCATGGCCTCGTAGATCTCACCAAAGCCCCCGCCCCCGATCTTTTTGAGCTGTGGGTGAGGGGAAGTATTGTGCTCAAGGACCAAAATGGACAGCTCCTCAACCCTCCTCCACTGACTCATTCCTCCATGGATGGGCAGGTGACCCACGTGCCGACCCTGTCGGTGCCCACTCCACCAGGGTGTACACCTATCATTCCCAGCACTGAGGAAGGAAGTAGAGGCCAGAAGATCAGAAGTTCAGTACCAGCCTGAACACACAGCAAGTGCTGGCCTGGGATATTTGAGACCCTATCTCCAAAAAGAGGGAGGGAGGGAGGGAGGGAAGAAGAAAGGTAGGGACACATGGCTAAGGACTTAGCAGGCAAAGGCACTTGCTGCCAAGCTTGACACCCTGAGTTTGATCCCCAAGGCCCACATGGTAGGAGAGAGCTGACTCCCCAAGTTATCCGCCGACACACACAAAAGTTAATGACAATAAAGGGCTGAAGAGAAGCCAGAGCTACAAGGACAGGTGAAGTTTCTTGAGCCAGGGAAGGAAACAAGGCAAGAGGAAGGGAAAAGAGCAACGAGAAACCGGGGCACCTTCCTACTCTGGATAGAAGCTAGTCAGACAGCAGGAACTTTACAGCCCCAGACTCCAGGGATAGTGGCCTATCTTCCTGGGGGAGCGCTAACCGCCTAATAACCCCTTCCTCGTCCTTTTACAGCTTGTGTGTGTGAGCACGGGGGACAGGCGAGGCAGGTGAGGGGCTCACAGACATCACCTCAGTTTCCCAGGCTCCACTGCACTGGTGTGGACGATCACCTGACTCCCCACCGGGGGCAGAGGGAAAAGTCACAAGACCCAGGGCCTGACATGCCTTGGCTAGGCCACAGCTCATACATAACGAGGCTGTGTTTCCTCTAAACGCAATCAGCTCGGGACAGAGCCTACTGATGTAGGACCCACGTGTCTGCAGGACACGGACCCACTCGTCAGAGTGTGAGTGCGGACACTCAAGCCATTACAATCCCTGCCGGTGGGGCTGTACCTAACACCTACTCCCCAACTGCCCAGCGCCCCACCTTCTCTGTTGGACTTTTCCTCAAACTGAGCCTACTTCTTTCCCCCTGTGCCACCTCCCCCTAGAGTAGGGGTCTAGTTGCCTGCATTCATTCTGCCCTGTGAAGGCAGGCATACTTTTCCATTGGCCACAGTGACTAGGCCCCTCACATTTGGGGGGGGGGGGGAGTGATGTCCCTGAATGTTTTAACTTATTTCGTATCAACAGATAAAGTGATGAACTTTTAGATCAAAGAGAAAAACTCAGTATAATATGAATACATTACCCTTCATACCGATGTAGTCATGGAATGCAATCTTTAGAACCCTATTATAGGAGGAGGTGTTGTGGGGCGAAAGCGTCCAGGGCCCATGAATGTCACAAGGCAGCCCCGCTCAGAGCCCCTTAACAGAACACCTTCAAAGCCTTTGCAGGCCCTATTTCTCCTCTCCATCTGTGTGTTTTGGGGGCCCTGACCCCTGCCGGAAACCTCCCTAAACCAGAGAAGAAGCACACTACAACTGAACCTCAGCTCACTTGGAACGAACACCCTGTCTCTTGGCCCCGCTTTGGACAACCTACAGTAAGCCCTGGCTGTCCTGCTGAACTCGCCCTGTAGACCAGGCTGACCTCACAGAACTCACAGAGCTCTGCCCGCCTCTGCCTCCCTGAGTGCTGGGATCAAAGGTGTGCACCACCACCGTGGCCACCACCACCCAGCTATAATCTAAGTTTCTTAAACGTTTTGAACCTCCGCTTTTTCTCCTCCATGAAGGAGAGTTGTTTTGGAATGAGTCCCGAAGACCTTTCAGCCTTAGGTCCCAGTTCTCAGATGGACTGATTATTACTGACTCAGGCGATGCCACAGGCAGACCTGATCCTGTTTTCTGATCATGGGAACTTGGCAAGTTAGCTAGTCACACCTGTGAAGCAGGGGTGTGCTGGAAATTGCCGTATGTACTCCACAGTTCCTGAGATAACCCACAGAAGGCGCTTTCACATCCTCAGAAGAAAGGCACAGAATAAGCACTAAGATTTTATTACTGTTGCTTGCTACGCTGGCTGCAAGGACCACCCCTCAAGAGCAACTCACTATTTTTAATTTAATTTTTTTTGTTTTTAGGGCCAATTTGTTTATAACTTATTATTTTTAAATATTGCTACCAGTTCGCTGAACCCCATTTCTCCTGGCTGCAGCCCATCTCTGGTCCATGATTCTTGGTTCCCGAACTCCAACATTAGTCCCACCCCTCCCTGAAAATGGCTGCACTTGGCACCTAGTCTCTCCAGCCCTTAGGGGAAGGGACAGGAGACGGCCATAAGGAGAGTCCAGGTCTGGCATACTCTCCCCCCAGCCCCCCGCCATTTTTCTCCTTCACAAAGGACAACAAAGTCTTAGTCTAAACTCAGAGTGTGTGAACGGTCTTTTTCTTGCCTTTCAGCACAAATGTTATTCAGCCATTCCCATCTGCCAGACACGAAGCTCATGTGCCAGGGACCTGGGGGTCTTGAAGGAACGCCTCTCACTTTGCCAAACACCCGTTCCTTTTATGGCTGCCCTGGCTCCTCCTGCATTTCTGTCCAGTTACTCTCCCTTTCAGGAACCCCCCTTCAGGGGCCCTGAGAGTCTCCTTTAACACCCCCACTCCCAATTCCTGAAAATGCTCCTTTGCCTCTCTCCCTGGACCTCTAGGGGACCTGCGCAGCTGGGTGACTGTTGCCATGGAGATCCGCCTGCACCCAGGCCCCACCCTCCTCTCCAACCCAGCACCCTTAGTGAGCCTGAGCCTCACCACACCAAAGCACAAGGACGCGCACACGCGAACAACACGACTATACACAGTGAAAATCTGACCTCTGTGGCTCGCTCTTCCCCTCTGGATCCCCACTGCCATGCAGACCCACAGTTTTCCCACACTTTCCCCACACTGTAGGATGGCACTAAATCACCCCACCCTACAATAAAGAGGACACCAGGGTGCTCTGCAGCGACGGTGGGGAGGGGATTGGACGGAGGCTAGCTGACAGTAAGTCGGATTCCCTAGGCACGACTACTGCTCCAACCCTCACGCAGCCCTCTCCCACCCCCACCCCACCCCCGACCAAGAGACTCGGACTACAACTCCCAACAGGCCAAGAAGCCTTTCGTCCTGGGTCAGAGGAACAAGGCACACTGGGAGATGGAGTCTCGGCGTGTTGCACCTGCCGCAGGCACCCGGGAAGGGAGGAGGGTGGCCGGAGAAGATGGAGTGCGGATGCGGTGGGAGCAGCCTGCGCTGCCTCCTTCCCCAGACCCAAGCCCTTCCGTCCTCTGCGGAAGCGGAGGAACACATGCTCGCTCAATGTCCTTCCCCAAGGTGCGGCAGAGAAGGAGCCCCCTCCCCCACTGCCCTCCTCCGCACCCCCCCGCCTCTGCAGCTCGCGCCCAGAAGTCCAACCAGGAGTTGTTCAGGCTGGGACTGGACCAGCACGACCTAGCTCCGCAAGGGGTGAGAGGGAGCCGGGATGGAGAGAGGGTATTTCGAGAATGTGTGGGGGAAAAAAAAAGCCTTTAAGCAGTATACAAATGAGCTCGGGGACACCTCCCACTTAGGGTAAGGGCTCCAAGGGCACCCGTCTTAGGGAGTCGCCAGCTCTCTTCTTCTCTCTTGCCAGACCCCTCCCTCTGCCCAGCTAGGTCACTCACCACCTTCCAGCGATCTTTGACCACGTAGTTGGCCGGCAGGATGTCGGCCTGCTCCCCTCCCCCACTCATGTTGGTTTCGTCCTTAAGAGCAGCCTAGGCACTGCATCCGCCAGCCGGAGGGAGGGGTGTCCGCAGGGCTTGCCCTTGGGGGGCCATCTACCTGGGGGAGTGAGGAGGGGCAAGTGAACAGCCTGGCTGCCACCCTGGACCCCCTGACAGCTGTGGAAAGGAGCCCCATCCTTCCCGAGCCAGCTGGGCAGATGCTGCAGGGGTTACTGGGGGAAATACTCGTGATGGAGGTTAGTGGAAGGGAGACATGGAAACCGCAAGCCAGGAGGTGTGAAAAATCGGCAACAGGACACACACGATGAAGACAGAGAGCAGGAACGTGTGAATAAGCCATGGGAGAAACCCTTACCATAGAGACATTTCCAAACTAACGAGGGAAAGAGGTGCTAGCCAGGGGCATCCTAGACCGAGACCCAAGAACGACAAGCCTGAGTCACTCTACCTGTGGTCCCAAGCATCATCCACACTTTCCCTGTGTCACACACACACACACACACACACAAATCTCTGTGGAGCTGTGCTTTGCCGGCTGCCAGATAGGGCAGCCCTGCTTAGCAGGGGATAGCTGTGGGATACCCACATCAGAGCGACTAGCCAGCCAACCAGAGAGAGGTGACCGTCGAGAAGAAGGACGGCGACAGGCAGGACAGCCCCTTGAGGGTGGCACGGAGGCAGATGGACCGTTGAGAGGTGCACAGCGTGCTCCGTGGGGGCTGGCCCTCCCGGCAAGCCATGAGTCCAGGAAGCCAGGGTATGTGCCAACAACAAACACGAGGCCGTGGGCTCCAGCTGTGGACGGCAGAGGGGTGGAATCCCAGTAGCCACTCCGCAGGGGCCAAGCTAGACTGAACTGGGGGAGAGCAGAGTTGCGGGGTGCCGTCTAACGGAAGGAAGGCGGGGCGGGACAGAGACCCGCAGGTCTGGGCAGGCAGGGTTGAGCAAGCCCCTGAGCACCTCTTTCTAGGTCTTGTCAGGAGTCAGCCCCAAGGGATGCAACTTCCCATGTACTTGGGTGGATCAAAGTTGAGCACTGGAGATAGCATCCCAACCGTGAGAGGCACTGAAACACAAGTCATCCAAAGGAACGTGTGTGTGCGTGCGTGTGTGTGTGTGCGTGCGCGCATCGGTGTGTACCTGTGTTCAAATACTGCGTTCATGTTCTGTATGACCATGTCTTTCTTTGCGTGCACATGTGTGGGGAAGGGACCAGAAAAGGCGACTTTCTGATATTTCTGCCAACCCAGAACAGGATCTGGATTTCCTCTTCTCGTTCCCCTACAGACTCTTTATGGGCCCACTGCCACAATCTAACCGTCACCTGGAGAGCCGTGCACAGGAGCGAGGGAGGCCATTCAAGCTGGGGACTGGGTAGAGGGAGGAGGAAAGGGAGTGGGCACTACGTGAGCCTGACTGTCCCTGGGGTGGCTAACTTCTCAGATCCCATGCTCCAGGCATCCTGAGAAGCGCAGGGTGGCTTGTGAGCGCACTGAGACAGGCTTCCCCAGGTCACAGTGTACCACAAGGATATGGAGAGAAAGCGTCTCCGTGAGGAAAGATATTGTTACTCTATAGCTTTCTTTCTTTTTTTCTTGAAATTCAAATCCATACACTATCAGGCACACTGAAGACGATGGTAATGGGAAAGCAGACGGCATGGGTCGAGGACAAGACTGAGGCGGCCGGGCGTGGTTCCACACACCTGTAAGCCCAGCACTCGAGAAGTAGGGGCAGGAGGAAAAGGGATCCAAGACTATCCTTGGCTATGCAGCACGCTCAGGACCAGCCTGCGCTACAAGATATCCTGGCTGAAAACAAGAGCGAGGGGAAAAAAAATAAAAGAAAAAAAAAAAAAAACTAAACAAAAAAGACTGGAAAAGCAATGAAACTTGTGTGGAGGGGACCTTGGCTAGAACAGGCTATAGCTTCAGGCCTAGAGTGCCGGAGCCCATGGGTCCCAGCCCCCGCAGAGAAGAAAAGTGGGGAGAGAGTGAAATTCAGGCTGGGGAGGATGCTCAATGGTTGAGTGCATATCCAGCATGTTCATGACCCCAGTTTCAACTCCCAACACCACCAAAAAACAAAAGAAAAAGAATATTTTAAAGGAGGCTGGGGGCCTGCCAAGACAGGTCTGTGGGAAATGGTCCTTGCTACCCAGGCTGATAGCCTGAGTTCAATGCCAGAGACCCACGTGATGGAAAGAGGGGGGCAGCGCCTGCCTGCAAGTTGTCCCCTGACCTCCACAAGTGTACCCCGGCATGCATACACTCTCCACACACAAAATAATTAAATAAACTGTAATCGAAAGGGGGGGGCTGAGATACAGCTCAGTGGCAGAGCACCAGTAGAGAAGAAGATGATGAAGAGGAAGATGAATAAGAAGGAAGAAGGTGAGGAGGAGGAGAAAAAGTTGAACAACTGGGTGGGCCTCTCAGCCCTGCACGGTGGAAAATTTGTGTGCTGCTCACACTTTGCACATGAGGAAATCTAAAAGGAATGGACGAGGAGGGAAAAGAAGGACCTGGCCATCCTGTCCACCCTACTTCCCAGGGGATGCCTCCATGGAGCCCCCCAGTCTACCAAGCTTGGCTGCCCAGTTACACCCTGACTGGGCATGTGTGTGTGTGTGTGTGTGTGTGTGTGTGTGTGTGTGTGTGTACGTACAAGAGAATGTGGACTAAAGCAGAGAGAGCGAGCTAAGTGCTTGGGGCATTTGGTGGTTTGGGAGCCAAAGTGTTGATGTGTGAGGCAGGTGAGAGTGGGAATCTCAGAGCCCAGGTGAGGAGAGGTGAAGCCACGAAGAGCGATGGGAACAGGAGAAAAGAGGTATGGAGGAAGAGTGCAGGGAACTGGGCACGTTGGAGTGACAAGAGGAGGGGAGGCGGGGGTAGATAAGACAAGGGCTAGGACGAGATGATGGTGGCAGGGACAGGACCACGGGAGGGGCTTCTGGGCCCAGCTGGGAAGCGGAGAGGGAGGCCCGAGGGGAGGAAGGGAGGGACTGAGGATGGCATTGAGGGTCTGGAGACCGCTGAAGGACCTGTCAGAGGTGACAGGGGGGAGACCCCAGGGACGACGGACGGAGGCGAGAAGGACGGGCTGGGAGGGTGGGTCTGTGGGGGAGGGCTGGGGGGGGGGCCAGGGAGCGGCTCCAGGCCTCAGGCCGCGGCCGACCCAGGCAGTGTAGGCCGGGCGTCCCGGCTCCTGGCGGCGGCGACGGCGACGGCCGAGGGACGGGAGCCGAGCGGTGGGAAGGCGAGGCCGGCGGGAGGCCCGATGTACCCCACCAGGGACCCCCGGCCCGACCGCCCCGCCCCGCCCCGCCTCACCTGCTCGGTGTCCGCTGCGGCTGCGGCTGCGGCGGCTGCGGCGGCGGCGAAGGCAGCGGCGCGGGG